AGCTCTGTAAGTCTTGATTCAGTCTAGTTGTATTCATGTTCAAAATATCACAGCACTTTTTATAAGCCTCACATAGCCCATTTTTTGTTGAAATATTTTGGTCAAGCATTTTCAGTGAGTCAGCAAAGTAAAAACTTATCTGCAAATGACAAAAGCTAAAAATGGCCATGATTAATTTATAAAATTCTTAATAATTATTATTAAAAGTGAAAGAACTGATGGGAATTAATTACAAAAGTAATGCAAAGCCAAATAAAGTCAATTAAAAAAAAAAAACTTTACATGAGATTTCTCTAAACATAATGATTAAATCCATTTCATAGAACTTTAGATATAATGTATAATAGTCTTGAGACATAATACCATACAGTCAGGATATACCAAGAATATACCAAGATTATCAAGTGTGTGTCAGGGTAGTATATTTTTCACTGTATTTATTCAATCTGTTTGTTGAGCAAATAATCTGAGAAGCAGTACTATATGAAGAGGAATGCAGCATCTGCATTGGAGGAAGACTCATTAACAATCTGCAATATGCAGATGACACAACCTTGCCTGCTGAAAGTGAAGAGGACTTGAAACACTTACTGATGAAGATGAAAGACTACAGTACGGATTGCACCTCAACATAAAGAAAATAAAAATCCTCACAACTGGGCCAATAAGCAACATCATGATAAATGGAGAAAAGATTGAAGTTGTCAAGGATTTCATTTTACATGGATCCACAATCAATGCCCATGGAAGCATCAGTCAAGAAATCAACTGCTGTATTGCACTGGGCAAATCTGCTGCCAAAGATCTCTTTAAAGTGTTAAAAAAAAAAAAAAAGGTGTCACTTTGAGACTAAGGTGTGTCTGACCCAAGCCATGGTGTTTTCATTCACCTCATATGCATGCTAAAGCAGGACAATGAATAAGGAAGACCAAAAAAGAATTGACTCATTTGAATTATTACATTGTTGGCAAAGAATATTGAATACCATGGACTGCCAGAAGAATGAACAAATTTGTCTTGGAAGAAGTACAGCCAGAATGTGCTTTTTAGAAGGGAGGATGGTGAGACTTCATCTCAGATACTTTGGACATGTTATAATGAGGGACCAGTTTCTGGAGAAGGACTTCACGCCTGGTAAAGTAGAAGGTCAGCAAAAAAGAAGAAGACCCTCCCTCAATGAGATAGATTACCACAGTGGCTGTAACAATGGGCCTAAACATAGCAACAATTGTGAGGATGGCACAGGACTGAGCATCCTTTCGTTCTGTCGTACATAGGGCCACTAGAAGTCAGAACCAACTTGACAGCACCTAACAGCAAACATCTGAATAGTAATAAAAACTCCAGGGGTAAACAAAACCAATTACCCAGTTAAAACTGTTGGCGTTGATGATGCTACTTCAAAAGAAATAAAGCTGTAACCAAGGTAACAAATAAAAAAATCATGACTAATAATATTATGCTCTTGTTGCCTAATATAAGACAAAAAAAAAAAAATAAGAGACACTGACACACAAATTTTTAACCCAAAGAAAATCTGGCACTTCTCCTGATTTGACAACACATTTCATGTAATTCAAAACATATTAAATAAACCTTTTTTCTCCCTTTCAGCAATTTTCCATTAAGCAGGAACAAATCTTTTGTAGCTTTCTACAAAGTTTAAAACTTGTCAGGAGTTTATCATTGGCCACTGAGAAACAATACTTAGTTATTTAACCTAAATGACAATAAAATATTTTAAAGGTAAAAACCTTAGCTTCTTCAAAATTCATGAGACTTGGTCTTGGTAATTAAGAACATAAAAGTCTACCTAACTAAGCTAATTTTGATGAGATGGGGAACTTTTGCCTCCTGGGTAAATTACACAGAGAATAAAATTAACTCTTCAGTAGTTAAAGAAAATTTTGTTTTGTTTTTTTAACAGTGATATACCAATTTTTTTTCTTTGTATACTATTTGATACTGTTTTTGTTGTTGTTAGGTGCCATTGAGTCATTTCCAACTCACAGTGACCCTATGTACAACAGAACGGAACACTTCCCGGTCCCGTGCCATCCTCACAATCATCGTTATGCTTGAACCCATTGTTGCAGCCACTGTGTCAATCCATCTCATTGAGGGTCTTCCTCTTTTTCGCTGACCCTCTACCAAGTATGATGTCCTTCTCCGGGGACTGAGCCCTCCTGATAACATGTCCAAAATCTGTGAGACTTAGTCTTGACATCCTTGCTTCTAAAGAGCATTACAGTTGTACTTCTTCCAAGACACCTTTGTTCATTCTGGTGGCAGTCCATAGTATAGTCAATTATTCTTCGCCAACACCACAATTCAGAGGTGTTGATTCTTCTTCAGTCTTCCTTATTCATTGTCCAGCTCTCACATGCATATGAGGCGATTGAAAACACCATGGCTTGGGTCAGTCATGCCTTAGTCTTCAAGGTGACATCTTTGATTTTCAACACTTTAAAGAGGCCTTTTGCAGCAGATTTGTCCAATAAAATGCATCTTTTGATTTCTTGAATGCTGCTTCCATGGGTGTTGATTGTGGATCCAAGTAAAATGAAATCCTTGAAACTTTGATCTTTTCTCCATTTATCATAATGTTGCTTATTGGTCTACTTGTGAAGATTTTTGTTTTCTTCATGTTGAGGTGTAATCCATATTGAAGGCTGTGGTCTTTGATCTTCATCAGTAAGTGCTTCAAGTCCTCCTCACTTTCAGCAAGTAAGGTTGTGTCATCTGCATAATGCAGACTGTTAGTGAGTCTTCCTCCAATCCTACTGCCCCCTTCTTCCTCATATAGTCCAGCTTCTCAATTTATTTTCTCAGCATACAGATTGAATAAGTATGGTGAAAGGATACAACCTTGACACATACCTTTCCTGACTTTAAACCCTTGTTCTGCTCTAACAACTGCCTCTTTGTCTATGTACAGGTGCCTCATAAGCACAATGAAGTGTTCTGGAATTCCCATTCTTCACAATGTTATGCATAATTTGTGATGATCCACACAGTTGGATCCTTTTCATAGTCAATAAAACACAGGTAAACATCTTTCTGGTATTCTCTGCCTTCAGACAGGATCCATCTGGCATCAGCAGTGATATTCCTCATTCTACAACCTCTTCCGAATCCAGCTTGAGTTTCTGGTAGTCTCTGTCGATGTAGTGCTGCAACCACTTTTGAATGATCTTCAGCAAAATTTTACTTGTGTATTATATTGTTTGATAATTTCAGCATTCGGGGGGATCACCTTTCTTTGGAACTGGCACAAATATGAATCTCTTCCAGGCAGTTGGCCAGGTAGCTGTCTTCCAAATGTCTTAGCATAGATGAATGAGCACTTCCAGCACTGCATCTGATTGATATTGGTATTCCATCAATTTCTTTTCATTTTCATTAATTCCTGGGAATATTAGGACCAGTTAATTTATATAAGCACTTATTTATTACTAAACCAATCAGAATGAAGTTCTTTGAAGGAATATTGTAATATAATTTAATAATATCATATAGAAGTAGGAAATTATTACACTGCCATAAACCTATCTTCTGCATGCTCTGAAGAATCTTTTAGAGAAGTGATGTAGAATATTTTGTACTTTTCAAGCTTTGTTATGCCAATCGAAATAAATCCATCTTTTTTCAGCACTTTTCAAATAGACCAATTTATATCAAAGTTTCTCAAAGTAACTACTGAAAGCCAAATCAGAGAGTTGTTGAACAAGAAGCAGTTTTTTCTTGGAAGAGAAAAGAACTGAGAATTAAGATGGCCTCATGTAAAAGCTGGCAACAGTCAACCATGACCTCCAACCTGAGGCAGGACAGAAAACTCAGGCACAACGCTCTTTCTAGATTAGAGTCAAGCTCTCAGAACAAAACAAGACAGAAAGACAACGTAAACTCACCTGTCTGTAAGGCCAGCTCTTAAACAACACAGGACAAAACAAAGAATATAGGGAACTCATTTTCTTAAAGTGTCTGCAGCAATTCTTTGGTAAGTTCAACCCAACTCAACAGAAAAAAAAACAGGTTTTAGATGAAACTTATTGATTGCCAGAGTCTCAGATGGAGGGATCTCAGACCCTTTGACAAAACCTGAGCCCAAACAGAAGCATCCCAAACAGGAAAGAAAAACAATGCAAATGAGAACTCATTTTCCCAAAGTGATCCTTGAAATTCCAAATTACTTCTAGTATATTTAGCATACAGCTTTTTTGAACATGAACCCCAGACCAGCGTCCCGGTAGGGAGAGCTTCAGGCTCACATCTCTTAGATTTCAAGGGTCCTATTCCCTTAGGTTGAAACTTTGGTTTCACAGAGCCAAATAAAATTCCTAAGAGAGAGTCTGCTGGGGGTTGGGTCACTGCTTTGTTTTACAGTGTACCTCAGTTGCTTAAGAGTTTTCTTGTGGCTAGTGGGAAGCCTAATGCTCTCGCCTATCTCATGCCCCAGCTTATCCTTACACGAGCATCTTTCTGTTGATGATGAGCACCCTAGAGGCTGTTAAAGTGCTCGGACTCATGCCCAAACATTTTTGTGTCTTAAAAACTCTGGGATTCCTTTGTAACAACCATAAGAAACTTAGTTTCATTCTTTCTGAATCTAGTTAATTCTTTCTGAACTTAGTTCATTCTGCCAGCTAAAGACCTAGTCTCTCACAATTTCCAATCAATTTTAATTAAACATCCAAGCTACAACACAGAACGCAGAGTATAAGACCTGAGAGTTCTTACCTGAGGAGACTGGAGAAAAGCAGTGTCTTAGTCATCTAGTGCTGCTCTAACAGAAATACCATGAGTGGATCGCTTCAACAAAGAGAAATTTATTCTCTCACAGTCTAGTAGGCTACAAGTCCAAATTCAGGGCATCAGCTCCAGGAGAAGGTTTTCTCTCTCTGTTGGCTCTGGAGGAAGGTCCTCGTGATGCATCAGTCTTCCTTTGGTCTGGGAGCATCTCAGCACAGGAACCTCAGGTCCAAAGGACGTGCTCTGCTCCTGGCACTGCTTTCTTGGTGGTATGAGGTTCCCATGTGTCTCTGCTCGCTTCTCCCTTTTATATCTCAAAAGAGACTGGATTAAGACACTATCTAATCTTGTAAACCTCTTCACAGTGATAGAATTTACGACACATAAGGAGATCACATATAACCTCATCATAGTGATAGACTTTACAACACATAAGGAAATCACAGATATCACATCACAGATTACACAATCATACAATACTGGGAATCATGACCCAGCCAAGCTGACAGATATTTTGGGGGGACACAATTCAATCCATGATAAGCAGGGAGCAAAAAAGAATACTCTATGGTATGGGCTCAGTTACTGATTTCCTCCTAAGATTCGAGGACATGGGAAGATGTCTCCAGGGTCCCTTTTTTGTAAAGGAAATGTTTCATTAAGGATCTTAAGGCTGTTTTGGTCAGTTTTGAAACTGTCATTCAAAGAGGCTATTTTAGAATCCTGAATAAAGTTGGAAGCCACAAAATACCAATAAAAAAAGCAACCCATTACTATTATCTTGTTTTGGCACTGTGATTTTCTAATTCAGACCTTAAGTATACTAGTATCTCCAATTGGTTCTAGTTAAATATAGTAGTATCCTGAAGTGGCCACTGATTTGACAGACTGTCACTAGTGAGTTCAAATCATAAATTCAAATACAAACAAGAACTAGACCATAGTTCTTGGTCATGTATCGAGTCAGAGTTCCACTAGGAAAATTCGCTGCTTTCTTACATTTGGAAGACCCCATTTTGAGACAGTTCTAAGCGCTACAGAAAACAAATTCACCAAACTTACAATAAATATTGGATTCAAGCTCAAAACACAAAAGGAGGGGAGCTAGAGAATCCAAGCGGGCTTACCAAGATGACCTTCAGATGCTCCACGGAGACAGTAAGCGGAAAGGGCTTTTGCGGGCACCACACCTGTGTCAAATGAGAGCTCCGGGGGATGTCAGTCAGCCTCTTCAGAGTCCACTTCTGAGTCTACTTCTGTTAAAAACCTAAATAAGCAGAGAAACATCAAAAATTAATGTAACAGAATATATTTATTGTGAGTAGATACAATTCAAACCGGGCAGCGTCAACTTGAAGGTATTGGGAAGATGCTCCAAAGAGGGGATAGTGAAAACCGGTTAAATACATGGGATCCGGCCAGGGTAGTCTCCTGAAGGTCACTGTAATTCTTCAAAAGAGGTCAATGCCTAAGGCAAAATGGTCTCCATTAAGCTGCTTACTAGGCTATTGTTTGGAAAACCAGCTCCTTAAAGGTTCAAAGTTTAAAAGGATACCTAAAGTCAAACGGCCTGGGTGGGTCACCTCAACTCAGTGAACCTAGAAATCTGGATTCCAGGAGAATTCAAATGGTGTCTCAGAGAAGTCGAGTAAATTTCCTGAGGCCACTCGGCAGCAAATGGCAGAACTGGAATGGAACCCAGGCTCAAGATAGGTCTGTTCATTTTTTAATGCAGGATAAGTAATTCTCAAGATTCAGTTCAATTTAAAAACCTCTGATTGAACATCAACTATGGGTGAGATATTGTCTTGGGAGGTAAATAAGATATATGATACGAAGCTTCAAAATCTATCAAAAAAGCAGATATATACCCACTGATTATAATACAAAGCAAAATGGGTAGAGAGTTAACAGAGGAGAAGTACAGTGCACAGACAGGAAAGCAATTTCAGGGCTGAGAGTGAGGAAGGGCATGAAAATTGTCAGTTCTACCTTGTAACTTATTGAGATTTGCTTTGGACCAATCTATTAGCTGCAGAGCTCAAGGATGCAGAAATTTTTCTTTTCATCTTCTTATATACCTGTCATCCAATTTGGCCTATTTTCCATACTAAACACTGCCATTTCTAGATATAGTTAATACTCAAGTAATTTTTTTTTAAATGCCCATGTTGCAGAGGGTAAAGAGCACTCAGTATATAAATCAGCTGTGTGAAAGCTCATTTAAGATATCAAAGAGTCTTTACAGAAAGTTATTAGGGGTCTCAAAGTCTCCATAAAACAATCAATTTACAGTCACTGTCCACTTAAGCAACAACCTCTAAATATATGAGTTATCTGTTTGCTGAAAAGTCATATAACTTGCTGAGTGTTAATTTCTCAGTTGACCCTGGTCTGTTAAGAAAAGTGCAAACAAGAGTCAAAGTAAGGAAACTAACTCCTGCCAAATATATCCCATTTCTAGATCCTTATAATCCAACCAAGACCACTCAAGAATCACTGTCTCAATGCAATATTTTTATCAAAGCCTTATGTTATGATTTATTGAAGATCAGAGACTATGTCTATGATTTTTGTTGAAGGTCTTACATTTTAGCTATTTCTTTTCTTTAATTAATTGTAATCAAATATAATTTAATGTTAAATAGTCCACATGTGTAATAAACTGCATGTTAGAAAGTCAATGGAGAAGCCATTGTTTTCTCCATTTTTTCACTATAAACACCACTATTGCAAGCTAATTTGCACAAACATGTATGGGTGTCTGGGAATAAACATAGTATTAAATTTATTTTTCACTTAGATTCACCTCTCCCTAATCTATTTAAGCTTCCACTTTAACTATTTTATTGTTCTCCCTTGTGTTGCACAAAGGGGTTTTGCATCCCTTCTGAGTGGATAGAGTTCTTATTACTGAGAAAGCAAAGGCACCCTGGAGAGGTTTAATATATCCTCCTTGGTCAAACTTCTCTAGAATCTCTCATAAATAAAGAGGGTTTGAAGCCTCTTTATAGAGCAGAATTGGCAAACCCTTTTCATTCACATACGAATGTCATGACTTTTATCCACAAAACACCTATACTACTAGGTACTTAATATTTTAATTTAAACTAACTCCTTTCATACTAAATCTACATTGTACTAGAACTAGTCTGGAGACCTTCCCACGTGGCTCCACAATAGACTAGCAGTCACCATTACCTAGGAACTTTATGGCTCAATTCCCATATCAGAATAATAACGCTGGGCCCCATTTCCCCTCATAACTCTTATAGATTTCTCTTTTTACTTCAATGCTCTACTTTCAAAGGTCTAGTCATTTCTCAAAAATAATAAGATGACTAAAAAAGGTCTGCTTTCTTTACTTTCCATTTTAACCAAAGTAAACTTCCTTTACTTTCTGCTGTCCTTAACTTTAGCAAGGACTTTAACAAGAATTATTTTCCTTCATTCTTCATGATAATTACTCTACATTCCACTTGGAGACAAGGTTCATGTTCTCAGCTCTGGGGTAACTAAGTCACTCACTCTAGTTTCCACAAGTTCTAACTTTGGATATGATATCTTTTTTATCCACAATATTCTTAAAATGTCAGCTTCCCACATGGTATATTTTCTCTACTAAAAAATAATCAAACAATGCCAATATAATACATAGTTTCTCTCTGAAACCACAGAAAGAGATATGGGACCTTATAAAGTAGTATTAGCAGTCAAACGGAGATGTTGTATACTATCTTTATTGTAATCCACTTCCTGATTATCCCGTTATTAAAAAAATCAAATTTAGCATTGTACATAAATGTAAAATATGAGTTAGCTGCCAAAATGCAGCTATAGTATATGCCCTTTTCATTTTTCACAAAACCAAACTTCTGCCAGGGTATTTCCTAAATGTTACAGGTGATCAGATGACTTTCACCATTTCATTGACTTCTAGTGGCTCACCATGATTTTACTTAGAGCTGCCGTGTCTAATACAGTCAGACATTGTCCTGATAACCCTCCAAGTCATCCAGAGTATGAAAAAAAGGACACATACTAGTCAACTACTGGCTAGCAAGTCTCTGAGTGATCAGGTGATGAATGACCTAAAGGCCTTCAGCAAGTGTACAGGAAAAGACTAATGGAAAGAGAAAGAAAATCTGCAGCCGATGCCACAATAAAACTACCTGTTCTATGTTGACATTAAACACAAAACTCAGCCACATTGTCACAGAACTCTATACTAGGGTATTAACCATTTCAGACAACTTCAATATTCTTTCTCTAATTAATAAATGGTGCCTACACTTAACAGAAGCCATTGATTTGAATTTAAAATAAAATACACATTGTATTGAGATGACCTAAATAGCAATAATTCATGAAAATGATCTCAAACTGAGATTTTTTTTACATAGGAGAAAAAAAATTACGAGAAAAAAGCAATTAGATTACAGATATGGTATTCCTGTGGTGGACTATTGCAGCAGTTCATCATATTTAGCTAAGTATCTCTTTAAGGTCTTATTTGCGACAGGTTGTGATAAAACTGAAAAGAACTTTAAATTCATTTGGCTTTTGAGATTATCACTCTATTTAACCTTGAAAGCTTTTTGCATTTTCTCATGCCTTTGTTTGCTTTCAGGAATTTATCTTCATTTAAACTTTAATCCATTTTATATCTCTGGCCTCATCTTTGATCCTCAAGGTTCAACTTTTTATTTTTTTTTAATCTGCAGTGTTACAGTGTGACAGGGTGGGAGTAGAGGGACTTTCTGTCTCCTGTTTATAAAAAGGATATCAACTTTAAAAAGGATAGGAGCATTGGTGGCTCAGTGGTTAAGAGTTCAGCAGCTAACCAAAAGGTCAGCCCTTCGAATCCACCAGCCACTCTTTGGAAACACTATGGAGCAGTTCTACCCTGTCCTATAGGGTTGATGTGAGTCGGAATGGACTCGACGGCAAGGGGTTGGTTTTTGGTTGTATATGATATCGTTAATCAATGATCATTTTACCTGTTAGATTCAAAAACTAGCATCCAAGGAATACTTGTTCAATGTTAAGTAGAAATTTCATCTGGGATTTTCAACACTGATTCTATCAGTTACACTGTCCTCAAGGTAATAACATTTTGTCTGAAGAAGACCAAGCATTTCAACATTAATTCTTACAAAAGTGGAAGCAAACACTTATCAAGTTTGCCATAAGCACCATAAAATCAGCTTTGTAATGGCTGTACTTAGTCCTCTGTGTAGAACAGCAGTAGTTTAGACCACCTTTGCACAATCGGGAATTTTTTACATTAGGCATGGCGAGCACAGAATCTAGGATCTATGAGCTCTCCAAGAGCCCCCCAAAAACGTATATATCAGTATCCCGATAAGAATAAATAAATAAATATTCAAATAATGTCTACAAAATATAAGCTTATGTCAACTGAAACTCAGCACATAGACAAATATAATAAAATTTAAATCCCAAGAGCTAGAAAAAATTTATTCTATTGAAACTAAAATTACCTTAAAATTTTACATCAAAAAATAAAGTTAATGTGATACATTCAAATGGGTGCATTAGAATTAGAATTTGTTTGATTATAATAAGGGATGCAGTCTGCCAAAGGAAGCATACTTAGGGCATATTCTGTGATCATTGTCAATCACCATTCACGTGTCAGTAAGATAATAATCAGAAACTGTGAAGTACTGAAAATTCTGTAAAGCAACAACAACAAAAATAAAACTGTACTATAACTAGTTACAGGCTGAAAATTTCTCTCACAAACATTAAATCAATTAAAAGGGGGTTTCTCCTGAAATCTTTTCCAATGAAAAGAAAATCCAAGAACCTTAGGGCATCTTACTATAATTGGTCTTATTCCCATCTCATTTCTGAAAACAATATGAATAGAACAGCTTGACTCCAAGATAATTAAAGATATTTTATACTGTCTCAAAATTATCACAGGTATCAGTATTTCTATGGTAGTTTTGTTCTGTTTGGTTTTTCACAAACAACTTAAATTTGCCAAATATATATCATAGCAGAAGCATTCTGGAATCGTGCCCATATGGTTGTAATTGTTTTATATTTGTTTAACAGCTTGGACTGTATAACAATGGACCCCATACATTTCTTACCTGAGAAAAATCAGAGCAGAAAATTCTCAGCAAAATGTCATGGGCTTTTAAGGATCAGCCTTATAAACTACCTTCTATCAAACCACCACATCCTATTACAGTTCCACACCTTGCTGAAGGCCCAATATAAACTTGGACTTGA